GATTCTCGATTTCTTCTTCAGAATCTGACATATATATTTCTTTGAATTGTTAAAAGAAATTATTTTGAAAATTTTTAAAAATTCAAAATTAAAAAGTTTTATTAAAATTAAAATTATAATTAATTATTCAGTCCTATGCGTTGCTTTTTCTTAAAAATTAAAAGTGGTTGTGGGTTTGTAAATTCTTTGTTACTCTTTATTTTTTTGATTTCAGTCTTTTCAGCAAACCGTTTTGGAATTGCAAAAGAACAAAAATCTGAATTTAAGTCTTCTCAGTAAATCAAAAATTAGAAATTACAAAAGATCAAAAATCCAAAAATCTTAACTATGGAACACCAATTACAAAATGTATAAAGAGAAAGGTTGTACTTACTAGGCAAAGCTAATAACAGTAGTCTTTCTTCACACGTTGTTTCTTGTTATTCCTTATACTCAGTTAACCAATTCGAAGTGGACAGTATCTGGAACGTTTAATAGCAGCACTGATAATCCAAATTTTACTTTTCCGAAGAATTCACTTTTTCGAACTTTCTTCAGTCTTTTGAAATTTTCGCGACGGATTACGACTGTATCAACTCCCGAAACTTAAGCACTCTGAGCATCCGAACGACTGCGCCAATTATATTTTCGATTCAGAAACTTGTATTTTAAAAAACATTTATTTTATTGATTAAAATACAGAGGTGACAAAAGAAAATATTCGGATCAAATTGCTACTAATGTAATTATTTATGCAATATAAAAAAATACAACACTGACCTGACACACATATGAGAGCTCTCGGAAGCCCTTTGTTTACATTTCTTATATTACAATTGTTGACTTGATAATTATTGGGAAAATAGTTTTTTTTTTTTTTTAAATATTTTTCCTAGAAGTGAACAGAGGTTATGTTTATCTACGTAAACATCAGCATGCGTCAGTTAATATGGAAATAACTACCGTTCTGTTTCCTTCTTCTTCTTCTGTAGTGCTTCAATGTTGCTAGAATGAGACAGAAACGAGCACGTAGGTCGAATCACGACGCGATAAATAAAGGGACAACTTTGCGACGTCTGCGTTGCGCTACAGGCATAAAGGAATGCGGTGCCGATCTCTCTCGTTTAATTCGCTACTCTCTTTTTAGTCTGTTTCTCTATGTTCACTGATTTTTGAGAACTAGAGTGGGATGTTACTTTTTTTTAGGTTTGTCTCGTTTTTTTATTGATGTTATGATTGTTATGATTCCATTGGTAATCTCAAGGGTAATCCATGGTTTGATTTTTTCAAACATATGGACTTATCAATGTAGAATTTTCAATTGTTTGGGTAGGATCGGAAAAAAAAAACCGCAGAAGTCTGGTTTTTAAAAAAGTCGACGTTTCGCAAAATTTATTTGCATCTTCAGGACACTGTAATGATAAAAAATAAAAGGGTTCTTTACAAACTTAGATGATGAACTACAAAAATACAAAAGACAAACAAAAAACAGAGCTATCCTCCGATTTCGCACTACATTACTTGAATAAATATTTCATAAAAACAGAAAGAAAATAGCAGAATTACATGAAACCTTTAAATAAATTATACGTATATAAAAATATATATAGCTATATTGTAAGTGGGGAGAGTAGCATCATAAAACATAGAAAAAATACTTATAGTTAACAAAGGGTAGTGAAATTGACTTGATTACTTACATTTAAATTAGACTTTCCTTGTCATTGTTGTTTAACAGATTCACATAGGTATAGAGGTTTCTCGAAAACATAGTTGATAAAAAATTAAAAAAAACACACAATTACGTAGCACAACAATAACAATTTAAAATTTAAAAGAGCAAAAACAACAAACTTTACACACCTCAAATGAGAGATAAAAAAAAAACAAAAATTAACCATTCATCAAACGGAAATGTTATTCAAAAATTAATAACATAAAGTATCTTTATAAACTAAGCTTTTAGGACGCAATTGTGTGTGTATTAGAATAGCTACATACACGTACTGATTTTATTTAGCGTCATCATTAATAGGATGGGAAACAAAAAACTGAATACCACACATTCCAACGCTAATATCTTGAGGGTTATTTAATTTTTGCTAATATATTAAAATATGCATTACTAAGATGTTCTATATCTGTTCTTTTGTTAACACAATTCTTATTTTTCTGGATCTCAATCATCTCCGCTATCAACCTTTTTTTGTAATTGGATTGTGTTTGTAAAATTGTTGTATTGTCATATTCAAAATCATGTCCAGTTTCTACCTTATGTTCGACTAGAGCTGTTGGATTCGATCTTAAGAGGTAATTCTTCTGATCGTTTTTATGTTCTCTCAATCGTGTTTTTAAATATCTACCAGTTTGGCCTATGTAGCATTTATTACATTGGGCACAAGGAATGTTATAAACTACATTCGATTTATTTAGCTTTTCTGTGCTGGACTTAGTCTTGGAATAAAAGCAGTTCTTCACTGTATTCTGACTTTTCATCGCAATCTTAACTTTTTCTCCTCTCTTAGTCACCTGATCTTTGAATATGGTTTGTATTCTTTCGGACAGGTTACTAATGTAAGGTAGCTTACAGAACGTGAATGGTTCATTTTGTTTAGGTACTACTCTTGCTGCAACCTAAAATACATAAAGACAATAGACCCTTAAGGCCAATTGTTTCATTTGTTGGTTCACCTTTGTATATTCTGACAGGATTCTTAGCCTCTCTGTTAAATGGTATCTATGTCAAGGACGATTGTCATGTTCGTAATTCCTTTGAGTTTGTTGCAGATATAAAAAATGTCAAAATACCTAATGATTATGAAATTATTTCACTAGATGTCATCTCACTTTTCACTAATATCCCCACAGATGTAGTAGTAAATATAGTTAGGAAGAAGTGGCATCTTATAGAAAATGAGGTTAAAATTCCTTTGATCAAGTTTATCGAGTTGTTGGAGTTCGTGTTTGATAACAGTTATTTTCAGTACCAAGAAGAGTTCTATAAACAAATATATGGCTTAGGAATGGGTAACTGTTTGTCACCAGTCTGTTCCGATTTAGTGATGCAAGATCTTCAAGATCAGTGCATAAAAAAACTTCCTTTTAAATTACCTTTTTATAAAAGATATGTGGATGATATAATAACGTCAATCCCAAATAATCAAGAACAAGTCATCTTAGACATATTTAACAGTTACCACCCTAGAGTTCAGTTCACCTGTGAGAAAGAGAATGATAATAGGATTGCATTTCTGGATGTACTACTCATTAGACACGAACAAAGTATTGAAACTGATTGGTATCACAAACCTACTTTCTCTGAAAGGTTTCTTAATTTCTCATCCGAACACCCATTTAAACAAAAAATTAATATCATTAATAACCTTAAGTACAGAGCAACATCCCTTTCAACGGAGAAATTCCATGAAAGGAACCTAAAGTACATAGAGAACATGTTGGTTAAGAATAATTACCCTGTATCGCTTATTAAGAAGATTATTAACAAAACAATTCCAGCAAGAGTAGTACCTAAACAAAATGAACCATTCACGTTCTGTAAGCTACCTTACATTAGTAACCTGTCCGAAAGAATACAAACCATATTCAAAGATCAGGTGACTAAGAGAGGAGAAAAAGTTAAGATTGCGATGAAAAGTCAGAATACAGTGAAGAACTGCTTTTATTCCAAGACTAAGTCCAGCACAGAAAAGCTAAATAAATCGAATGTAGTTTATAACATTCCTTGTTCCCAATGTAATAAATGCTACATAGGCCAAACTGGTAGATATTTAAAAACACGATTGAGAGAACATAAAAACGATCAGAAGAATTACCTCTTAAGATCGAATCCAACAGCTCTAGTCGAACATAAGGTAGAAACTGGACATGATTTTGAATATGACAATACAACAATTTTACAAACACAATCCAATTACAAAAAAAGGTTGATAGCGGAGATGATTGAGATCCAGAAAAATAAGAATTGTGTTAACAAAAGAACAGATATAGAACATCTTAGTAATGCATATTTTAATATATTAGCAAAAATTAAATAACCCTCAAGATATTAGCGTTGGAATGTGTGGTATTCAGTTTTTTGTTTCCCATCCTATTAATGATGACGCGAAATAAAATCAGTACGTGTATGTAGCTATTCTAATACACACACAATTGCGTCCTAAAAGCTTAGTTTATAAAGATACTTTATGTTATTAATTTTTGAATAACATTTCCGTTTGATGAATGGTTAATTTTTGTTTTTTTTTTATCTCTCATTTGAGGTGTGTAAAGTTTGTTGTTTTTGCTTTTTTAAATTTTAAATTGTTATTGTTGTGCTACGTAATTGTGTGTTTTTTTTAATTTTTTATCAACTATGTTTTCGAGAAACCTCTATACCTATGTGAATCTGTTAAACAACAATGACAAGGAAAGTCTAATTTAAATGTAAGTAATCAAGTCAATTTCACTACCCTTTGTTAACTATAAGTATTTTTTCTATGTTTTATGATGCTACTCTCCCCACTTACAATATAGCTATATATATTTTTATATACGTATAATTTATTTAAAGGTTTCATGTAATTCTGCTATTTTCTTTCTGTTTTTATGAAATATTTATTCAAGTAATGTAGTGCGAAATCGGAGGATAGCTCTGTTTTTTGTTTGTCTTTTGTATTTTTGTAGTTCATCATCTAAGTTTGTAAAGAACCCTTTTATTTTTTATCATTACAGTGTCCTGAAGATGCAAATAAATTTTGCGAAACGTCGACTTTTTTAAAAACCAGACTTCTGCGGTTTTTTTTTTCCGATCCTACCCAAACAATTGAAAATTCTACATTGAAAACCTACTCGGATCGACAAAACCACATTATTGTATATGGACTTATGTTTACTTCATTACTTTTTAGTTTTTTTCGTGAAAAGACATGGCCAAGGCATGTTATTGGATAATTTAATTTCAGCTCCAGTAGAATAATAAAACGTCCTAAAACACCTAGTATGTAAATGTTTCTTTTTCTTACCTGACTCCACAGTTGATATCAAACCCTACACCGCCAGGGCTAACGACAGAAAGCGGATCATTCATATCAAACGCTGCCATATTGCCAATGGCGAATCCATATCCCGAGTGAATGTCTGGCAGTCCGATGGATTTACCTACTATACCAGGAAGGGCAGCAACATTGGCAATCTTGAAAAAAAAAAAAAAATAAGTTAAAAATGTTTTAGATAATTCAAAAATTAAATAATTATTGAAAAATATAATGTTAATTTTAAGGGTATTATTGGGAAATTTCCAAATGTTCTTTCTCATTCGAGCAAAACATGTTATTTAAAATCCCCCGTATATTAACCAATTAATTTTTTCATGCTCAAGTCATTAACAAAACCTCTATAACAAATTAACCCAAATGAAATACCGCATCGGTGCAATTCAATTAAATTTTCAGTAATCAACAGAATGCCGCTAATATTTTACTACTCGGCTCTCTTGGGCCTAACGCCCTTCAAGACCAAATACAAATTTTTGCACGTCACTAGTGCGATAATGTGGACATTATTGGACGTCTACGTGTCCATAAGGGCCGTAATGGAGATGTGGCCTTATAAAGACTTGATTTTAATCAATTGGCAGTATTTGTTGCTTTCTAGTGCGTTTATTGCATTATTTTTGACACGATTGAATATTTTAGTGCGTTCCGACCTTTGGCAAAACTTAATTGATTTGATTAATAGCATTGATAGGGCTTTGGATCTTACACCCGCCCAAAATCAACAAGAATTATTGAAATTTATTATAGGAAACTTACTTATACAAATTGCAGCGTTTTATAAAATCTGTGTGATGCTTAAAACGAATGTTTTTTGGGTTGTTTGGTGCGATTTTGTGCATAATGAAAGCGCCTTTTGCGCCGTGATTTTGTCGAATCACTTGATGCACCTTGTATGTGAAAAATTTAAACGAATCAACGAAATATTGCCGACAATTGACGAAAACGATAGGAAAAGTTTGAGAAAATGCAGAATTTTGTATGAAGATGTTAAAAAAATCGTACAAATTGTTAACAAGTTGCTTGGAGTTTTTTACCTTTCGATAACGTTTTATTTTGGCTATAAGCTTGTTTATGTCGGTTCTTTCAATTTGAAACTGTATTTGAACGACCAGTATGGGCCTATAGGTGGTTTTTATTTGTTTGGGTTGATTTTGGTCAATTCTGCTGATGGCGTAAGTAAAATCTGGTTTTGAAAGCTTGATTTTAAGAAATTACACTTTTTTAACAATTGATGCAAAGCCTTTTAGGCACACCACAGATCCTAGGAACTCAAATAAAGCCTCATTTTTAATTTTAAAAAATAAATGAAAATAGGGTACTTGCATGGAAAATTAAATTGATTATTGTTTATTGCAAACTGTAGGAAATCGAAAAAAAATCGTTACTTTTTTTTTATTTCGCCCAAATATGATTGTTCCGTAAGTTATTCAAATATTAAGTTTTGTATATATAGATATACTGAGCATGTGCAACGTTACTAATCTATTAAATAAGTGACGTCATAGGCAGATTTCATAGTGTTGTATCTCGGTCAATTTTTGACTAGGAAGAAAAAGAAAAAACACGTGTTAACTTATTTTTCATGGACTACTATCGAAATCAGCAATAAAAAAAATTGATGCAAGGAGCCTATTCAGATACAAAAACTTAATTTAACTAGAAATAACATCAACTAAAGTTTGTTTCGCCAGGGTTTGTACTTGCCACCAGCATTTGCCTTCCTTGTTTAACAAATAAAAATTAACTGAAACAAATCAATGACGTCAAAAATATTCGTCGGTTCTTGAACCAGAAGTCATTCATTTTAATTTGTCAAAAAAATTGAATGTATCATTATGAATTAATCTACGACAACCCTTTTTTTTCAAGTTTCAAGGTCAAGTATGAACCCTGGTGAAACGAACCTTAGGTACATGCCCATTATATTGAATAATGCGAGGAATAATGTAAGTACTTTTGTCTTTCATTACTATAAGTGGCATACAAAATTATGTTAATTGCCACAATAGTTGGGTGCTTTCAATGACTGTATCACCCATGTTAAAATATTCTATTCTCTATAAAAACTCATTTTTTGATTGAGGTCTTCCATTGGGTACAAAGATAGTTAAAAATGTAGGACGTCTTGTCTACGGTTAGTTTGAGGCATTTCCATTTCAAGAGTCGATATAGTCAAAATTTTAGTGTAAAGTGGCTCTATTAGCATTTTCAAAAAAATTAAGTTTCACTCCCAAATAAGTGCTTGATTTATATTGACTCAATCTTATTTCTATTGAATCTAAACTTTTTTACATTTCAGTTAATACCTCTAATAATTGCAATATTCGGTCATCAGGCCACTAAACAAGCCAGGAACCTGCAAAAGACTTGTAGGAGGTTGCAAAAGAATATGGATCGGACATCCGACCGGTCAGTATTGAAGCACAGAATGATTTCGATTGGTAATTTTCGTGTTTTAGATTTACGGAACTTGATGACTTTTTCGGCCAAATCGAGCGACAGCCAATAGAATTTACGGCGGAAAGATTTTTCAAATTGCAACCATCCACCATCGTCAATTACTTGCAGATTGTCAGCACGTATTTTATTACTTTTATACAGTTTGTTTTCTTATCACCATCATAATTGGAAATAATATCGAATCAGTATATTCATATCATATTCCTCCAAGAAAGAATTGACCATAATGTACAAAATATACAGGGTGTTCATTCTGAAACTTACCACCCTTATTATCTTGGAGCTGAAACAACTTCTAAAAAATTCCTGAAACACGTCAACTATAATTTGAAGAGGGATGAGTTTTTATGCAAAATTCACCTCCCCCCTTTCAACACCGCAGCCCCTAGAACGACGGGAAGGGGGGGGGTCAAGTGGTACATCATTTTGGAGGGTTTTCAATGCCATACATTTTAATTCTAATATCTGAGTTCAACTGTTTTGGAAATATTGACACTTGAAAATTGACTTTTTTGCAACTTTGACAGGCTGTAAAACCCAAACGGTTAATTTTGGATGAAAACCGATCTTACATTTTTATCTTGGATTTTCATAAACTATCATTTGACAGCAACTTTGAATTTAACCGGAGATTAAATTTAATTGGAATTTTCAATCATAGATTAAATTCAAAGTTGGTGTCATCAAATGATAGTTTATGAAAATCTGAGACAAGAATGTAAGATCGGTTTTCCTCTAAAATTAACCCTTTAGGTTTTACAGACTGTCAAAGTTGAAAAAAAGTTAAATTTCCAACTGTCAATATATATTGCCATAACAGTTGAACTTAGATATCAAAATTCAGTACCAAAATGTATGGAATTAAAAACCCCTCGAAAATGATGCATCACTTGACCCCCCTTCCCAGTTAAAATTTTCTAAGGGGTGGCTCTGAGGGCTGGAGGGTTGAAAGGAGGGAGGTAAATTTTGCATAAGAGCTCATCCCCCCAAATTATGGTTGACGTGTTTCAGGGATTTTTTCTAAAATTTTTCAACTCAGAGATAATAGGGGTGGTAAATTTTCAAAATGAACACCCTGTATATTAAATATAGTAGTATAATAGATCACCTTATATAGTCCAACAAATACCATTTTAAAGTCATGTGATTTTTCTCTATCCTTGTTGAATACATCTCAAACAGCGGTGATAGTAAAATTGACAAGAAAATTGCTGTCTAATTATTTTTCATAATATTCTTACCTGAAATAGAATCCGTCACTGTCATCAATTAGTTTGTCAAAGTTATTTTCGAAAATAATACAATGAAGAAACACATCTAATAATTTTGACTATACTAACCTTTTTCCAACTCGAAAAGAAGCAACTAGAAAACGGGTACCCAGTTTAAGTTCAGAATGTATTAAAACAGACAGCAGATACGACAAAAGTGAGTCTCGCAACAATTGCAAGTATTAAAATTGCCCTCTGATTGGTTAATACTACTTCAGAAACGCGTTTGTAAAATGCTAGTGGGAACATATCCTAAAATTCAATAATAATTAATCACCAGTAGCATTTTGTAGGTGATATGAACAACATAATCAATGGACATACGTTTTTTGCCACCGGTATCACGTGACTTTAAAATGGTATTTGTCGGACTATGCCTACAATCATCGTATAAACAGTCTCTGTTTATACAATAATACAACAAATAGTTATTTATGTACCAAGGCTTGTAAGTGTTACTTTTTTGGCCGAGAATGCAGTTTGCAAGCCGAGGCCCATAGGGCCGAGGTTTGCAAGCATTTGAGGCCAAAAAAGTACACGCTACAAGTCGAGGTGCATATGATATTTTTTGTGCTACCGTACATTCAAGATAATAAATATCATGAATTTGATGGTGCACCTATTTGCTTTGTTCGCGAAGAAGATCCCAAACTGATCCTGAATTCTAATATAAGGAAAGAATCACATCATGAAAAGCCATTGATATGAAACAATATTAATGGCTTTTTATAATAATAATAATAATAATAAAGTTTATTTACCAAAGATACATAGGTACAGACATATGCTTAAATATTATAATAATTTTATCTTACAGTAAAATAAACAGTAATCACAGAAGCAATGCATCAACTGTATTGCTTGTACGTGATGGTATTTTTCTTGTTTGTCTAAATTGGGTAGTGCGTCAAATTCGGGTAAAGTTGTCTTATTTGGGTGTGCATGTCAAAATCGAGGGTGTGTCAAAATAGAGAGTTTTATGGTCACTTTTTAGGTTTACGATCAATTTATTTTTTATAGATTTTTGAAAAAATTTCTAAGAGTATGGCGATTTATTTTTATCCATGGTTTAATATGAGATTTGAAGTTTTTTTGGTTAATTTTTTGTTTTATATTTTCTGGAAGAAGATTATAAATTCTGGGGGCGTAAGATTTGTAGTATTGTTGACCAACAGCTTTCTGACTCCGCGGGAGAACCGCGTCTCTATTTTGAGCGCGGGTCTCGTGAGGATGTTGTACATATTCAAGTTCAATTTTGTTTTTATGTAAATTTATCAATAAATTTTGAGCATAAAGTTGTCGGATGTCAAATATTCCGGTCTCGTTGAATAATTGATCTGTGGGAAATAATTTGGGTTTTTCATAGATTATTTTAAGAAGCCATTTTTGAATAATTTCTACTGTAT